GGAAAGATCTGGCAGTGTGTGTCTGTGTGTGTGCACGTGTGTGTGCACGTGTGTGTGTGTGTTGGTACAAAAGCTAATGTGATAGAGACATTTTGATTCCATCATTTCTGTGTCACTTTTGGACACTGTCTGTGATGGTGTTCAGATGGTTTGGTCTCTGCAGACTCTTTGGGTCCAAACAGGAGTTCTCCAAACAGCATCACTCATTAGGATTGCTGCCTGGCTCGCTGACTTGCCTCTGGCACAGTGTGTCTGTGTGTGTGTGTGTGTGTGTGTGATGGAGAGCCGTTATCTGATTCATGGCTGTCATGACCACAGGCTGTCTTCCCCCTAATATTTATCACTTCTTCCACACAATCACATTTTCATTATCCTGTACATCACATGTTAACAAACCAATTGTCAATGGGGCGGTGAGAGGAAAATGAAAACACAATGCGTGTAGCAACCTGATCCCACAGCATGACCAGAGAAGGGCAGGGGATGATTGAAATGAGACTGCGAGAACAGATTTTAATCTGAGACCAATCGTTTGGACCAGGAACATAAATGCACAGACAGTTGGTCAACCTTTGACCTTTTGTTCGACGAATGAGGAAAAATGAAAAATGAAATTCATACTGACCCATGTAGCTTTGAGCTACAATCAAGACAGGACCGGATAGAAATAAAATCCAGGCACCTTTTAAAAGGAAATATTTCTGAGTGCCGTCATTGTGAATGTTTTAACTCAAATATACAAAGGTTGGTTTGAATCTTTGTATTTTCATTTACATTTATATTTACACACAAAGTCCAGGTTTCTATTACTTTTGTGTCTTGCAAAAAAATGTTGATTACAGTAAATCTATGTTTAAAGTCTCCACAGATTATTTTTTATTTTCCAACTAGAATATTATAAAATGGATTGGATAAATGGAATTTTTTTTGTAACAATAAAAATCCTTTTTTTATGAGTTGTTGGCACCAGAGTTCACCCTCTAACCCCCTTCCACTTCTTTATTAAGTTTTTTTGTATTTTTGCTTTTTAAAAAAAAAAAAAACGCATATGAGAAAAGGGCACGTTAGTGCTGTAAGTAATAATTTTTATTATTAGATTTTATTATTTTTTTCAGATTTGATGTTTTCCAGATTTTGCACGACTCTGTCATGTAACGTCGAAATTGAATATGTATGATACATTACCCTGGCTGACACCTGCATGCTGTTGTCCTGCATGGTCATGATAGCGTCAGAGATCTTGATGTCAATGGGCTCGATAACTGCCTCAATGTTGAATGGTCCTTCCAGTCTGTCCGCCACCAACAGCATAGCATCTGTCAAAGGGCAAAAGGTCAAAACAGAGTCTTTAAACTTCTGCACAGAGAAACACTTTATTTATCATTAATTCACACATCCTAGTGCTGGGCAGGATTAATCACGAAATTATTTTAAAGATGTATGCATTATTTTTCTTCAGTCAAATCCTTTCATCCATAGCCTGTTAGAGAACTTCTCAGTCCTCAGTTCCAACATATTTTCAGCTTTATCATTTTGTTTAGCTTAGCCTTACAATTTATTCCCTCTGTACTTACTGTCATACCTCTCGTACAACATGTTTTTCTAAGTTTTCTTTTTGTTGTGAAAAACATTTTTTCTTTGGCAAAAAAAGAAAAATACCCAGTGATTTCAGATTGCAAGATATAGCTGAAGTGTTGTTGAGTTGTTTGTCTAGTAGGGCAAAACAAGTGGCCAAATTCATAGCTACTGCTGGGGAATATTTATATTCTGTATGGTGTTGAAGTCCTTTGGATCCTTAAAAAATCTCTACCTTTATAAGTTGACATTTTAAACTTATTTGTTTTCCTCCAGTTCCGAAAACAAATGTAATAAATAACCATATCTTTCCTCTTGTTAAAATCCCCCAAAATCCGTCCATTTGTGTTCCACTGGCTAACACCACATTTGTCCAGCACCTCATCATCATCTCTGTTCCCGTCACTAAAACGTCACTGGTGTCCACACACATCAACAGTCTCTCTCTCTCTCTCTCTCTCTCTCCTCTCTCTGCACATTTTGTTTGCTTCCTGATTTCATATAAAAAACAATTTTTCTCAACCTTGACAAGGAGTGAGATTTGTGCCAAACAATCACTGTATGTAATGTACGATACAGACATGATATTTTTAAGGACAAATTAATTCCTTCCCTTGTGGTCAGTTAAACTAATAACCATGTTGTGGTTTATAATAGTGGCCACTGTTGAAGTTGCAGACACTGCAGACAGTCTGCTTCCTGCACATACACCTTTGAAAAGCACTCCTGTTTGTTTACTCCACAGCCTCAAATTGGGAGTGATGCTTGGTTAGGTTTCCATCAGAGTCTGGCAGGAGGTCACTGCAGAGGTCCAATCTCAGTCCTGTGAAGTCTTCAGCTGCCTGTGTGCATCTGAACACTGTTTTAATGTTACTACAACAAGACTGGTGTAGAGCTGAGGGGGATTATAGTGAAATAGTACCGTACTGTATTTCTGATAAACCCACCAAACACGTATCTGGAGACGAGGCTTTTGTCATCTCGCTGAAATAGAGAAAAACTGTGGAAGTGTGACTTCTACAAGTGTTAGAAATTAGCATAAGAAATGATTCACACCAGGGAACAGATGAGGACAAATTATTAGCTGTAGCTGAACTAAAGAAAAGTAATTTTAATGGTAAATCTTTGAGTCTATTCATTAACTAAAATGGCTCGTTATGTTCAGGGTTCAAACCCAAGGCAGAAGAGAAGGCTTTAAAGGTCAGCTTTTAGCAGGGCTGCCAGAGTTAATGCAGCGAGTTCAGATCCAAATAGTTTTTCTGACCCTTTAAAGTTTAGTTTAGTATGAACATTGGCTGAATATATAGTCCTCCATATTTTCCCCTGTTAAATGTTTTTTTAGGAGTATATTTTAATTTCAAAAGCAGTTTTGTCAATGTGTGGCTGCTTGATATTGTGTAATTCTATAAAAGTGGGGGCAGTGGGGGGCGCTATGGAAATTTAGTAACACTTTGTGACTCCCAATGTGCCCTCCTCAAACATAATCTCCGTGTCATATTTCAGTGATTGGGTTCTTCACTGTAATCAGATCATGAACTGTCCAAGACACTTTTTATACTGATCTAAATCATCTAGTGGAAGATGAAAAAGTAAGTCATAGACCGTTTTGCTGGGTAAAAAATAGCTCCATTTGTTCACTATTGAATGACAAAACTGTTTTTGTTTCCAGCTCCATGGTGCCAGCCTCTTTCTGTTTTTCCTGCGGGCTGTATGTTTGATTATTTTCTTTGTTCAAATAGAAAACGATTTTTCTCCTCACACAGAGATTTGAAAATGACCTGCAGAATCCCTGGGGGTACACCAGTATTATTCACGTGCGAATGAGACAAATCAACAAATATTATGTAAACATGCTGGGGAACAAAGACAGCGTTTTCCTAATTTACTGGGCCATTTAGAGTTTGACTCCGTGGTTTAAATACTGCCAGCTCTTTGGAGTTGTTAGTCATTGTTTTGACAAAGCTGGGGTGGTGCTGTTGCACCAGGATATAAATAACTATGTCACTCAAAGATGGGTTCCGTTATTTTGACCATGCTCATCCAGAAGGGGTTTGAAATCTCAATCACCTCCAACCTGTGAGAATTTAATTTCATTCCACACCCTCTCTCTCTCTGTCTCTGTCTCTGTCTCTCTCTCTCTGTGCTTACTTGCACTGATTGACATTCTCATCCATTCATGTCAATGCACTGTCCACCGTCTACATTACATTCTGAAATTGAGTTAATTAGGGGGGATCTGAGTGGGGGAGTGTTCCGTGTGTCATTACAATTTAAAGGTAACGGCACATCAGTTGTTCAGATCAGAATATGTTTGTAAGGAATACAGCTGTGTTCAGTTCTTTTTCTTTTTTATACGAATCATGTTGCTAACATTTTATTTAAAAACAGGGAACTACATTAATTGATGTAAAAAGATATTTAATATATCATTTGTTTTTTGGAGGATTAAAAAAAAGATATTGATCTTTGAATAGATATTTCCAGTTAATAAAACGGAAAGGAGGAAAACATCTCCAGTGTGTCTCTGAACCACTCCTGGTCCAGAGACTGCAGATGAAAATCTCTCACTATTTCACACCACATAAGCCCGACTGACCGTAGTGAGAAAAGTATAACACTGGGCTCTGCATGACTGCTCTGGAGTCAATTGAAGGACCAGAGTGTCAAGTCTGGTGTAAGTTCAGATAAGTAAAATGATCCAGTCAGGCTTTGAAATGCCTTACAACCAACACTGTGTGACCCCCGTTTTGACTATAACAAGACCTGTGTCAGTTATTCTGTTCAGTGATAAAGAGCGTGGAGCGCTGACGGAGGAGAGAGACGCCTGCTCTGAATCACACTGTGTTAAATTACTTAACCCGTGTTTCTTTTTAGATTTTGTGGAATTGTTTTTTTTTCTTTTTTCCCCATCACAGTTGTTGTCCAACGCTGGTGTCAATTTACACCAGTCAGAGGACACGTCATGACTACAGTGTTCTCTCTTTTTATATCACGGTTCTCCTTCACTCCCTCAATATCTCACATTTTTAAAAAATCAAATCTCGTGAAATTAAACTAAAAGACAAAAAAAAAATTATACATACGAAAGTTTTTGGAAATTTGGATTCTGGTTTTGAATTTGAGATAAGCACATTTGTGAATGAATGCTGGTAGCTTTGTTTACCTGGACAAGATTCGTGCGTAAAGGGTAACATATTTACGTAAATAATATAATAACTATCTCAGAGGGATCACCGTATGTCATAATTTGATGGGTCTACAAAGATCCAGAATCCTTTCTGATGATTAAGAGTTGCAAACCATTCTCAACCATCTGCCCGTCCAAATGTGTGTACACAGACACCATGAGAGTGTGAGGACGCACTGCCGTATTTGACGACAACTGATTAATGACACTTTCTTTGCCAGCTGTCTTGTCTGTTTAATGCTTGTTTTTTTAATTATTGTGACGAACAATGACAACAACAAAAGAAAAAGATGTGATACACACTGATTGAGCGCAACCACAACATAAAAGGCCTGGGAGGAAAATCAATGAATGTTTTTGTTTAAAAAAAAAAAGTTTATTTTATTGATGACAGCACTTCCAAAATTGCCCATCAGTCATATCAGAATTGTTGGGAACATGTATTTAGTTTATGACAATTTGTCAGTGGTGAAACGAGTTTATATACATTTAAACAGGTGCAGTTCAGATATATAGTGTCTGCTGCTCGTGTTTTTGTTTTAATTTTTAGTGATGTGTACAGAAAAATGTCTAATTTGACATTTGATATATACATACACACATATCGGTCTATATATTTATACTAGTTATATGTTTATATATGTACATGTATGTATATAAATATATGCATATTTTAATATATATAAAATATGTATATATGTTTTTATATATATAATTGTTTTTATACTGCCAACACAAACAACTTAACACTGCCCATCAAGCCTGTAGCACCATGTCAGAGCGCCACCACTGTGCTGCTTCACACGCATCAAAATGCAACGTCCTTGTTTGCATTCATGTAAGTTTGATGAGCTGGAAGGCAAACTGCTGCACACACACACACACACACTGCCTTTGTTTAGTGAGCAAGTAAGTCAACAGAATTCAAAAGTGAGCTGCTTGTTTGTGCCGTTGTTTGCCTTTCATTCTCTCTGCTACACAGGATGTAATTGCAAAATCATAGAATGACTCAAAAGGACAAGAACAGCATGACACTGAAACTAGAAAACATTTTTTTTTTATTTGACAAAGTCTGCAACAGCAGGTGAGATTTAGTTAAAAGGAAAAAAAGATCATTTTTTAAGTTACAGTGTGTATAAACAACTGGTCGAGCAGTGTAGTCCTGATGCATGAAACGTGAATCCAAACAGTGTCTGCAAATGTTGTCTCAAGTAGACTGTAAAATGGAACGGGTCAAAGTGAAGTGTCAGTTTCTGTCCTTGTCAGTCATCTTCACGGTACATTTGTAAAAGGTTAAACCACTACTGGAAGTAAATGTTGCAATTTTAGCTTCATTGTAAAACAAACCTCAGTACTATTTTAGGCAATTTTTCAAATTAGCACAGACGGGCACGAAGCTTTCAGCTTTTGTTTCTCCGACTTTGGGACGGCCTCTATTAGAAAAGTGTAAAGTAGAATTTTCTCACAACCAGAATCTTACTTTGTTCTGACCACTGCTCTGGAATTTACAATAACGAATTTATATTTTAAAAAAAACCAATTGCAAATATAACATAAAAATGAATACACTATAACAGCAGTATATAAATGCAATGATAATAAATACCTGATATTAAAATACATTTAAATTCATTATAATAATCATAGCTTTAAGAAGAAATTATGATGTATATTATTTTAGGTAATTGAATTACTATATTATTGTATTTATGATTTTATTATATCTTGGGGAGTAAAATTAATAAAAATAGGCTTCAACATAATATGGAAATATTTAAATATATATGCATATATTAAATAGAATATCAAATATAACAATAAATAATATATTTAAAATAATTGCAAATAATATGAATTGTATTGGTGATCATATGAATGTTGATTGTTATTATTATTTTCGTTAGTAGTGGTGGTACTCATGGTAGAAGTTTAGCTACAACGATGTGTGTTTTCAGTCTTAATAATAATATTAGAGCGAAAACCTTTTCTTTAATAAATCTTTTACTCGCGTCATCCTCTGAAAAAATACCTCACTTTTAAAGTATTTTTCGTCCTAAGGCCTGATGCTGTATTCCTGTCAGTTATGCTCATTCTTTGGAAGATGAACAGTATTTTTTTGCACTTGCTTCTTGTGCCTGCAGGCTGTTTTTCTTATCGATTGTTGAACCCATTATTTCCAAAAACAGAATATGGCCTTTTTGAAGAATTTCACTTCCTCCAATTGTATTAACAGACATTTGCAGGCACAGTATATTCATCCCCGTTGTCACTGAGTCAGGAAACTGCCTTCAGTTTGACATTTGTGCTGTCACTACCCTATTATCTACCCTCAGTTCCAACCATTTTATACTATTGCTACTATTCTATTGATTCTATTTCTATTGATTTTCATAGCCGCTGTTGTACATTTAATTTGCACAACATTCACTGACGATGATTACAGTTGACATTTTACTTGCGAAGTACCTCAGACACACAGTACTGTAGTACTGACGACGTACTGAGCAGATTCTGTGCAGATAGAGCAGGAATTAGAAATAAAAAAGGGCTTCTTTCATGTTCCTGCCGATGCTAAGATATCGCACTCTCGCTGAGAGTTAAGTGAGTGAGTCATCCAGCCTTCAGCTCCGCTGCGTCAGGCTGAAACCCACGAGCTCTGGCTTGTTTGTTCCTGTCCTGTCTGTTACTGAGACAACCAGGCTTTATACTCACACACCGCGAGTGCGTGTCTGATTAAAGTTTCAAGTACGGCTGAAAGATGCAGTGCTTCGTGTCAAACCTAACATATCTACACGTACTGTACAATACACGTGTCCTTTTAAATGACGTGTGATTCTCACACTGGGACACTGAGCCTAAAAGAATGTTGGTGAATAAGCGAGTCGGTGCAGGAGAACAGACCGGGGTGGTAGCCAGTAATCTATATCATTTAAGGTGAAGCGGTGGCAGGATGTTCATCTTCACAGTCTCACTGGCAGCACACAAAGTCCTTGTCGGAGGACAGAAAACACATTGGCTTGAATTCTCATGAACTGGTGGGTTGTGGGAAGATTCAGTTACAGTGGTAGACTATCCACACAATTAAAAAGAAATGAGCAAATAAAATCAATGAGGATTGCTTACACCGTGGTGTCAAAGGACTCAACAGAGGACATATTAACCCTACGTCTCAATTAGAAGCACACAGGCACCACTGAGTGCATGCAAAAGGGAAATCTAGTGGTTTACAAAGCATCTCATTTGCTACCAGGAGTCCATTACATCTAATATATATCTGTTTAAACAGGATTGATCGTTTCTCTCTTCAATGTCAAAGCTTTCTGTGAATTCAAGAGAGATGGATTTTACTTTGTCGCTTGTTTCTGCAGCAACGAGAGACACAACTGACTCTTTATCAGCGTTACTGACAAAGCTAATGAGCTAACTGAGTTTAATTTAAGTCTCCTTTCAGTGGCTAATTACCTGCTCTTGCATCACATGATCCCAAATGGTGTTTAACAACACACTGACACCAGGTGTGAAGTGTTAAATATTAAGAAAAAAAACAGATGTTCCATTGTTTCCTGCTGCCTTATACTAAATATATAAGGTGTGTTTAAGTCTGCACTATAGCATTTTTTTAATTGTGTTCTTTATAGGATTTAGGACAAAATGTATTAAGTCTTTAAGCTCAGACCTCTTATCAGCACCTCCTCACTGTTTACATTTTTTTTCTTATTGTATGAGACACTGACGTCGGTATCGAAATGAACTCGGAACTCAGCAGGGACCTCCAGTGAACGTATTGCTAATTAGCTGTTCTTAACATAAGGCACGCATGACGACATGCGGGCAGTGACTGTTAAAACAGAAGGCCCTGTGTGTAAAGGTAAAGGGAGCAGAAATTAAAGCTTCAATCAGAGAAAACAGTGATGTGTGAGCACCAGTGTCTCTCTCCCTCTCTCTCTTCCTCTTCCTCTTTGTCTCAGAGAACATTCTAACAAGGTGCTGACAAGAAAAATGATAATGATGTGTCTGTCATGGTGCAGAGGTGGATGCATTTGTCATAATGGCAGGTGACTGATGGTCTACTATCACCCACTGGCCAAACCATGAATACCCCCCTGAACCTGTGACCACACACACACACGCAGCAGAATAGCTAGCATCACTCAGACACAGGTACATGCAGGTAAATTAAATTAGTTTCAGCTTTGAACTGGTGCTTCATTGACACATCCGTCTTCCATATGTAGCCCTGGAGGCATGAAAGCAATCAAATAACCTTTAGAAGTGCTGTATTCGGACGCTTAAATATTAAAGTGGTGATGTAATTAATAGTCACTGTCATTGCTGTACTTATAAAAAGACCAGATCAAATAATTTAACCAAGGTCATTGCTATTTTAGTGTAAGAGGAATTTCAAGGGTAAGAGAAAAGTGGTGGACATATTGGTGCTTTACATGCTGTTAGTAAAAAAAAAAAAAGAAATCACAGATCCTTTTTCTGCGTTCCAGTAATGGTCTTTTTTATATGACTGTATATGTAGATATATAACTGATGAAGGACAACAAGAGCAGAAAAGAATTAGCAGGGACAGAAACTAAAGGATCTGACCTGTTGAAACGGTGCAGTTAACAGAACCAAGGGTATTTGTAACAAATAGCAGGTTTAATTTTTAACACTGCTGTCCCCTTCAGTCTGAAGTATTATTCAAATAAAATATACACCATTGATGTCATCAAATGACCTTACAGAAATCTTATAATTTTCAAATGCAGCAGTACTTTGTAATTTAAGAGAGTACAAAAAATTTACTTTCTAATTTTTTGTTACATTTTTTACATAACAATGTATTGAATCACAGATTTAAAAAAAAAACCCTAACATCAGCAGTAATAATATATTATACAAAAATGTGTTTTTCTGAGACCTATCTGTGGTCCAAAAAAATTGTTGCAACTAACCTGCCGTTCCTTTGATAGGCTACTGTGCAACACTGCCCCCCACACTTTCCATTGGTACTGCTGGGTTTTGAAAATGTACTAAATTACCAACAGACTGAAAGCCATTTTGGACAAAAGTCTCAGTTTTCTCCTCACTCTGTGTTCAACACAAACTAGGTTCAGACCAGACAGGCGTTATCACCTTCATGTTGTACCGTGGTACGAAATGGAACGAAATCTGAAAATCCAGCCTTTACTAGCAGATCGGAGCATTTGATGGAATACAAGATGATGGCAAATGTGTAAAAAAAATCCTTCTAGATTATAATTATAATTACAACAAGACCATTTTTACAAAATGGCAACATATGCACACCAAAGGGTTGAAAATTAAAAATCCCCCCCGTCCCTCACCTCGGGGGTGTTTTTGTCTCAACCATATTCATCAGATGGTTGTCACGACAGCTTTTCCCATTACTGTGGAGCACAGCATCCCTTTGCAGCGATACAATGGCTGTGCCTCTTACGCTGGAACAAGACACTAACTTTTTAACACGTGTCATAAAGCTGCGAGACATTTCATTCAGTGCAGGGGGCTGTGTTGATCCAAGACATCAGACATGCCATCAGAGAAAACAAGTGGTGCACCATCTGACAGTGTTTGAAATGAAAGGCCTGTCACAACAGCCAAGAGCTGAGGAGAACAGCTCGTTTGACACAAAGTCATTAGAGACGTCTTTTAAAAAATAAAAAGTGTGGGTGGGGGTTGGCTCGGACCGGGGTGCATAACAAATAAAGCTGTGGCCTAAAAACATTTCCGGAGGGAGAACTCTTTGTGCCTCCCCAGAATCCATCCAACAGCAGGGCTTACAGTAGCGTGCTACTTACTGTTTAACTGAGGCACTTTATTACTGGCTGAGCTCAGTTGGAAACACTATAGAAAATGTGTTTGCCTAGGATCTGCTCTTCTTTATCAATCCTGAGCAGCAGGGACCAAAGCTGTGAGCGCCACGCCAGGACTCCAGCGAAGGCAAACAAGGTTTAATGTGAGAAAAAGGAAGCACTCAAGAGTCGAGTGTGTGTGCGCGCTGACAGACAGAGCTGTGCACAGGTATGGCATATTTCTAAATGATTCAAAGAAAAAGAAGCAGTAGCTGTCCCAACGAATCAGAGTTTTTTTTAGTTTAGTTCTTACCAATGAAGAAGTTCCACTCAGGATCCAGATCCGCCTGGTTGGCCAGACAGCCCCTCATTACGTTGTGACAGTAGTTGTGACAGGGTTTCAGGCCAGGCATGTTGCGGCAGTATGGACAGTACAGCATCTTGGTCAAGGCTTTGACACACGCTGGAGCTACGTTCACCTGGAAAACAGGCAAATGTCAAATACATTTTATTATTATTATTTATCAGGGCTGTCAATTGATTAAAAAGAAGCTTTAAAGGAAACACTGTTAATCATAATTAATTGAGGTAAATTAACATAACTAAATTTGAAAAATTGTGAAGAAAAATATGCAAATGAATTACTCCAAATTTAGCTTGAAAGAGTTGGAAGTTCTAATAATATCCACTCATACATCGATCCTCCTCCAGTTGATTATTTTCACAGTCAGCAGTGAATGGGTGGGTTACAGCCCAGACAGTTCCCTAGTCCATCACAGGGCCACATTTGAGACCAAAAAATGAGCATAGATAAAAACATGAGGTGACTGTAGAAATTATGCAGAAATGTACATGTGCAAATAAAATGTAAACATCACCCAGAAATGTTAACATTGATGAAGAGTGAACATCAAGGTAAAAATGTACACATTAGAGTCTTTTTAAACCTCTCTAAGAGAAGTGTCATTTCCAAGGCGTTTCAGTGATGATACATAGAGTACTTCACTTACAGTACGCGCAGATACTGACTTCTGCTCTGAATGAGGTTTTCAAGGAAGAAGGTTTGTACATTTTCATAGAAGGAATTTCAAAGCTGGAGTCAGTGAGGAAATGGTTTTACAAACATCTTTACACCAGCGCGGCTCTGTTGATGCTGGACATAAAAAGCTCTGTTTGTGTGACAACAGCTCTGTCTGTTTGGTTCCTTCACTCACCTCAATGTACTGCGTCAGTATGTGGCAAAGCAACGTGATTTCATGAGTGCTGCTCTTTAAAAGTGGACATGCAGAGCCAAGAATACATCTGATAATTGGGCCTGTCAGCCTCTGGAGTTACGCTTGAATGATGTTTTCAGTGTCAGCCTCTATATGTGTCTGTGTGCACCGGTGGACGTGTTCACAGCGTTGGCAGATGCTCCGGTTGTAGTCATAACACAGATTCAAAGCAATTTGGTTTCACACCCATGAGACCCCATGGACAGCAATGCCTTGCCCAAGGACACATTAATAAATAGAAAAGTGAGGCTTGTTTCTTAACCCCATTATTTTGGAGGGAAGACAAATCTTCTCAGTATATGGATCCACAGCTACTTTGTGAGTGCAGTTACCGACTGCAACACGACTAAATCACCGGGGTAAACATCAAAGTGTTGCACCGCTGTCTAAACCCAGATCACGTTCCATACCAGTGGGTGACAACCTAACACTCGGTGAGCTGCAGACAGATGTAATAATTAAAAAGTTATCTGATTGTAATCGCTAAGACATGTTCAGACACGTCTCCGAGGCGTCGCCAACAGCTTTGACAAGTTTTATCATTGTTTCTCTGTCGAGTGTTAGGTTTAATTTGATATTTTTGCAGTTTTACCGACAATTTTGATTGTGATGTTTCTTATTATCACCGTTTTTGATTTTGATCTGTTTTATTTATTGTTCATTTTTGGAACTGAAACAACATATTAAGGTGTTAGCAAGAGAACCATCCTCATAATCTGCAGTCAGAACATACCGTAACTTTTATGTCAGTCATGTTGAAGCAGAAAAATGAACAGGTAATCGCTACAAAAATCTGTACAAACAGTTGCCTCAGTGCAGGGGTGAAGGCCACATCCTTCAGCTGTAAATGACCAGACACAGAAGAGTGATTGATCACTCTCTAATATGCTTCCAGAGCTCCGGAGTTCAGGGCTGCGTTCTTTACACCACCCTACACAGACTTGGCAATTGTGTTTGGTGATGTAAGGTCAGTTTGCAGCTGCTTGGTAACGTATGGCATATAGTCCCCAGTGCACAGCTTTGTGCTGACATGAAGACCAAAGGAGATTTAGGACTCTACAGGTTGGCAGTGTTTTACAACCTCTGTGCTTCAGTAAATTTTCATGGTCTGCCACTTCACTGAATAGCTGTGGTCGCTAAACGTTTTTATTTTATCATGGTAAATAAATTACATTTATAAAAGACTAGCAAATAGGATGTGTTAACAACAGAAACAGACTTGTTAAAGAGGTGGAATTCTGGCAAGTGCCAAAAACACTGTGCCAAGAGTTCTTTTAATAAGTGCTTTAACTGTTAGTCTCATACCAACACAGAGACTCTGCCATCCTTTACGCTCAGCATGCTGACATTTGGCCAATCAGATGTAGCCTTGGACACACTGACCATGCATGCACACCATTTGTCCCAGCTCCGCTAACGTCCGTGCAGGAACGGTAATCAGAGTAAAGCAAATGGTGTGGGCTATAGAGCCTCTGTCATCCTCTTTAATGGCGGAGGCTTATTAGATTTGGTGGATTTGTGTCTTTACTGGGCTGTGACTTGTTGAACATGACAGGAGTTGGTTTTAAATATCTGGTGAAGTTGTTGTTCTTGATCATTTTTGCATTTCTGCTTTTAAAGGGATTTTTTGCCGTATAGCAAACTGCTAACCAAGATGCATTGCTGTTTTTTATGTGTCCGGGCTGCAGTCCATTCTACTGTAACTCTCTCTGTTTCTCTCTGCATTTGTCAAATAACCGCAGACTGGGCCGCTCTACGGTTGGGTCTGGGCCACATAAGGTCCTTAAGCCACATTATAAATATACAGGCTTTAGTCATTACTTCATCACTTCAGTTTCCAAGGAGCAGCTTGAAGTTGTCAGCCTGATTCCCAATATGAGCATTAACTATACTGAGGATTAACAACCCAGAGCCGGGTCTAAACCATAAAGGCCTCAGGCTGACACCATCCTACCGCCAATATAAGCCAGACCTCACGTCCTGATAATAAAAAGATAGGGTGACTTATTATAGTGATTCATATATATATATATGCATATATATATGTATATACTGTACAGTATATATAAATGAATATATATGACTTTCACAAAGCGTCACCTTGTCTACCAGAGAGCATGTGCAGGGTGTTGTGCACATATGGCATAAACTCCCTTTAGAGGTGACAGAGTGGAGAGATGGAAATTGCTTCGTGTCACCAAGTAATGAAGCTCTGAGAAACGACGGTGACTTTGCGAGCTACCAAGGCCAATCAAGGGGATCCCATGTGGTAGACGGAGCCTGACTCCCAAAAAGTCTCCATAGTGTTGTCGTAATTATCATGCCAGGTAGCGATGCACGGTACTGATTAGACGTGGATGTAAGACTGAAGTGCTGCCCCAGTGCCCCCGCTCAATTCCATTGCCATTAGTGTTAATGACAATGTGACTGATCTGTCTCTATGTAAAGAAGATTATCGCGAGCCTATGTGCAGCATCTGCCTTGTTGCACCAGAAAGCTGCTGGGAAAGGCAGAGCTGCCACCTCCCCGTGGTACACATCCATTAATCTGGTACTGCAGGAAATACACACAAAAACTGCTTTAGTGTATCTGTGAAATGGGGTTGAACAGTGGTGATTGCTGGAAGGCTACGTTCACACTGCAGGAAGAAGTGGCCCAAATCCCTTTCCTTTTATTTGCCCTCTTGTGACCCGTATCTGATTTATTTTATGACCGTGTGAAGAGCACAAATCTGTCTTTTTTTTTTTTTTTTTTGTTACATGTTATCAGACTTCTCCTTCATGGACGTGAGATAGATGTCACAAATCAGTGCCGCAGGAGGGTAGGAATAATTAAGGAAGCAAACATGCAAATGAAGAAGCTGGGCAGTGCAAAGAACGCTGACATGTGTAATATCCATGTTTACCTTTGCAAACAGTGTGTGATGTCAGTTCTTCTGTTCACGCGGGTCACTTCAGAGCCATAGACTGTTCACCCTGACTCTGATGGAGGTCGCATTTAAACAATATTGCCATATGAACCATATAAAAAAAAGAATTCAGATCTCAGCAAAATAATCGAGCAACAAACCCTGCAGTGTGAACGTAGCCTTCAGTATTCCCAAATGTTCTTACATGAGAGACCTGGAATATAGACACTTTTAAAGCTCTGTTAAAACAACTACGAATTTCAAAAGAAAGTCTCTCTCTCTTTGTCCTTAAATGATTATAAAGTCTTCCAGAGTGATCAGTTCATGCAGTTTGCCATGTCCCAGACAGTGATTATGACTGTTTTACATATCACATATTTTTAGATTAATTTTAGATTAAAAAAAAATTTACAAATTCACCTCATTGTCCCACAGTGTGATACATGTAACCAATGACAGGCATTTATTTTGAAAGGATTCTCTACCTCTTTATTTATTGGGCCAAAGTGAAACAAAACTGTTTTCATGACAAATGGTCTCCGTTGCATTGCCTTGAACCCGTCCTCAGCTTTTCTTTAACCATGAAGGTGATCCGACCTTAACCAAGTTCTCTAAACATAGCCACATCTTAATCACAAAGGTGCTGGAGCAGAAAGTGCTCTCAGTGTGGGTCCTTGTGGAGCTGACAATTGCCCTGTTGTTGTTTAAGGTAACAGATTTGTTGGACTCAACTGCAAAAGTAACAGTGGGTATTTAATGTCAAGGGGGGGGGGGGGGGGGGGCGGGGGTAAAATTCCTGTCTGTCCCGTTGAGTTTTCCTGGTTAGACTCTACCTGTTCCTCAAACCCCACCTCAACAAATCACTCTTTTTTTTTGGGTAAAACTACTTGTCGACCAGTTGAGGTTGGGCAGGACGCTCTGTGGACCATGATGTTTGCAGATGACACTGTCAACTGTGGTGAGATTGGGAAGCAGGTGGAAGAAAACCTAGAGTGGTGGAGGTTTGCTTTGGAGAAAGAGGGATGAGGAAGAAGATGGAAGAAGTAGAGGAAGTAAAAGGTGGATGAATTGGAGGTGAAGGACACGAAGATGAGATCTTTGCTGGGAGTCACCACGATGGACTTTATTAGAAATGAGCAGATCAGAGGAAAAGTTAAGAGATAAAGGTTGTTGGAGATGGAGCTGCGAGGGAGAGGAGAAGAGGAAGAGAAGATTGGATATGGATGTAGTGATTGAGGACATGCAGATGGTTGGTGTGACCGTAGAGAAGGCAGGAGATGGGGTGAGATGGAGGAAG